TCTAGAGGTTCTTACAGTGGTGTTCTTTGGTGAAGGAAACATCATCTCCCCATTGATATTTTATGTTGACCTGACTTTTCATTTGCTCAGTCCTGCCTAAAACAAGGAACGTTTGCTTTGCGCTCACTTTTTGTATCTCTAACCATGTGCCTGCTAAAATGTTCCAGAACTGGTATCTAAAATCCTTCGTTCAGCCCAAACAGCAAGAATAGCACAAGTCAAAATTTCTCCTCTCACTATCAGCCAGTGGGTGTCGAAATCCTCAGTTGTTTTAGTGAAGGACCTTCTAGATCCACACACCCCCTTCCTCTGTTTACTAGGGTGATGCTGAGAGGGCTGGGACTCAGGTTTCCTGAGACTTCCAAACTGCCTTCCTGCAAATGCAATCTTTCTTTTCCATTACAGCAATTAGAAACTCCTATTTCTTAATTATCAATAGTTTAATGATTTCTGATTTAAAAATTAGAACTCAAGATCAGAAGGCCAAGTAAGCAAAAAGATATTTTTTCCTTATGTGTTTTATTTCTGTGAGAGAATCAATTTTGTTCACAGAGAGGCTTGCAAATAACAGAGTGTCTGAGGCACGTGGCAGTGTGTCATGAGTGTGTGTGCGTGTGTGTGTGTGCGTGTGCGTGTGTGTGTGTGTGTGTATTTGAAGGGGTAGAGAGTACAGGACACTGGGCTGGTGGGAGGAGATGGGGGTTCTTAATCCAGCTCAGCCACCTTCTAGACGTGTGACTTGAGAAATTCACAAATTAAGAGTATGAGACTTGGAAGCAAGTAGCCACGGACTAATCCCATTTCTACCACTTTACTATTTGTTTGACTTGGAGCAATTGTCTTAATTTCTGGTAGTCTTGGTTTCCTGTCTAGAAAATGTAGATAATAATACCCATCTCACAGGCCTGTTGAGAGGATTAAATGAGAAAACGCACATAAGGCTCTCATTAAATGGAGCTATTTTATTTGCTAGAATGCGAAATGATAGCACTAGATGATTTATGAGGGCTTCTCTATTATTAAAATATGATTTTAAGAATATTTAACCATCTATTTAGTGAAAAATTTGGCTTTTGAAGACTTTTAGCCAGTTTAAGGATGTGAGGGATCCCTCCTTCATAGAATTTGTTTTTCTCTAAGACAACTCAATCTATATGATGTCAACAAATGCTTCCAGACCACTCAGAGCCTTTTTCTGAAAAGGCCGGAGATAGCATTGGAAGAAACTGCCCTAAGAGTAAGATTTCACTTGCTGTACTGAAACATTCTGGGCATTCCTGCAGTTATACCAGCTGCATCTAACTGAACAGCAATTTGGTTGGAGCATGGAGGTGGCTAAGAGACAGAAAACTAGCTAGATAAGCTCTCACTAAGAATTGTAGAAGCATTTCCCAAAGTGTGTTTTGCAAGCACTCTCAGAAAAAAAGTTATAGGATTCAAAGAGATTGGAAAAGTCTGTAAATTACACTATACTGTATACATTACTGTACGGCAAAACTAAATATAAACCCATCTCTTATTCTTAATTATCATGAAGAAGTTTCCAAAAAATCTGTTTGACCAACATTAACATACAAACTTTCAGTGACACATACATATTTTAAATCACATGTTATAAAAAAATACACAATAATTTTAATATATTGATTTTGAACTATGACGTCTCATCCACTCATTTTAAAATGTATTCACACTTTGTTGACATCAATGACTTTGCTACTACTAATGACACCCTTTGAGCCATCAAAAGTTTCCCACAGCACATCTTCTCTTCCATTTAAGTTTGGCCACACCATTTTTGTATCCGAGTACGGTGGATATTATCAGTGGAAATTTTAGTCACAAATATCAATTCCCAAAAGACAATTCAAACACTCCTCTTGCAGATATATATTAATAATCCCTACATTGTAAGCATAAACGTGTGCTCATGTTAGAATACCTTTTAAGGGGCCGGCCTGGTGGTGCACTGCTACAGTGCGCCGCTTGGGAGCGAGGGGGCGCTCCCGCCGAGGGTTCGGATCCCACATACAGACCAGTTCCCACTCACTGGCTGAGCGAGGTGCAGGCGCGACACCGAGGGTTGCAATTCTGTTGCCGGTCCTGGTCCGGTACGGGCGTGACACTGAGGGTTGCGATCCATTGCCGAACACGAAAAAAGACAAAAAGGTAAAAAAAAAAAAAAAAAAAGAATACCTTTTAAAAGGTTTGTTAACTATAATATCCAGAACTAGGAATTGTGGGGTCAACATTCGTGGAATAATTAATAAATGTGTATTAAGAAAAAACTTTCTAAACAACTCTGTCATCTCACATTGAGTGGGTCGTTTCTTTTTTTTTTTTTTTTTTTTTTTTT